TTGCCCCGCAGAGACCTGAGCGCGCGTGTTTTCTTCTCTCCGGGCTGCCGCTTCGTCCTCGCCGCCGGGTGTCCGCCGCCGGAGCCGCCGCAGCCCGCGGCGCGCTGCACACGCCCGTGCAAAGGCACCGCGGCCCGGGCGCCCGCTCCTCCTCCGCCCTGGCTTTGTTGCCTCGGCCAGAAGAAGAAAAGTTTCTGTGGAATAAGGGCGATCGCGGCCAGCCCTCCCCCGGGCTGTCCCCCGGAGTGAGAGCTCCGGCCCCCCCTCCACCGGGAGCGGCGCCTGCGAGACGGCCATGGCCGGAGAGCTGAGCATCGGAGCCGAGCTGCCCACGAGTCCCCTGGCCATGGAGTACGTCAACGACTTCGACCTGATGAAATTCGACGTGAAGAAAGAGCCCCTGGGCAGGAACGATCGGCCCGGCAGACACTGCACCCGCCTGCAGCCGGCCGGCTCCGTCTCCTCCACCCCCATCAGCACGCCCTGCAGCTCCGTGCCCTCCTCGCCCAGCTTCAGCCCCACCGAGCAGAAGACCCACCTGGAGGACCTCTACTGGATGGCCAACAGCTACCAGCAGATGAACCCCGAGGCGCTGAACCTCACCCCCGAGGACGCGGTGGAAGCTCTCATTGGGTCCCACCAAGTGCCCCAGCAGCTGCAAGGCTTCGACAGCTTCAGGGCCCACCACCACCATCACCACCACCACCCGCACCACCACCACCAGTACGCGGGGGTCACCCATGAAGACCTGGCCAACGGCGGGGACCCACATCACCACCACCACCACCACCAGGCATCTCCCACCCCTTCCACCTCCTCCAGCTCCTCCCAGCAGCTACAGAACACGCACCAGCAGCACCCGTCCTCCAGCAGCGTGGAGGACCGGTTCTCGGACGACCAGCTGGTCTCCATGTCGGTGAGGGAGCTCAACAGGCACCTGCGGGGCTTCACCAAGGACGAGGTGATCCGCCTCAAGCAGAAGAGGAGGACCTTGAAGAATAGGGGCTATGCCCAGTCCTGCAGGTATAAGCGAGTCCAGCAGAAACACCACCTGGAGAACGAAAAGACCCAGCTGATCCAGCAGGTGGAACAGCTCAAGCAAGAGGTGACCCGGTTGGCCAGAGAAAGAGACGCCTACAAGCTCAAGTGCGAGAAACTTGCCAGCAATGGCTTCAGAGAGGCCGGATCCACCAGTGACAACCCATCATCTCCCGAGTTCTTCATGTGAGTCCTTAAACAAACAAAAAGACCCCCCTCCCCACTGTCCCCTTTCTCCCATCCTCTGACATCTCCATCCATCTGTCTGCTTGACTAGAGAGAAAGAGAGAGAGACTTAATACTTGCAGCATCCTGTCTTATAGATTAGCTGTGAAAAAGTAGACTGGGGGTGGGTGGGAGAGAGGTAAAGGCGTGAACTTTTCATCCGTAGTTTGCCAGTTAGAGAGAAAGGTAAAGGAAGAGAGGACATGTAAAGCGTTTGCAGAGATCGCTTGCTTTCAGAGCCTTGTGGACGTTTAGATGCAAAAGGGACAATGCACAAGCCATCTCTAACATACTGCCTGCTTGGGAGTAAAGCAAAGAGAGGAGACATGCAAAAAGCAACATCTCATGCACAATTTACCTGCTTGGAAAGGAGAAATCAATAAAGGACAATATATGCAAACTCCTCATATATTGCCTGCTTTGATGAATAGTTACAGGACTCAGATGGGACATTACGAGAAAAAAAGAAAAAAAAACTCATCAGTTTTATTGCCTGCTTGATTATATAGAAAAAAAATACGAAAATCTGCATTAAAAATATTAATCCTGCATGCTGGACATGTATGGTAATAATTTCTATTTTGTACCATTTTCTTGTTTAACTTTAGCATGTTGTTGATCATCGACCATAGCTTTTTGTTTTGTTCGTTTCATTGATAAGAAAAAAAAAAAAAAGCATCACAAGTTATCAAAACTACTACGCGCGCAGTTCTGTTCGTGGGTTCTCTCTCTCATTTTCTGTTATGGTTGTTAGCTTGTAAATCCCTGCCACATCCAACCGCACAGGAAAACAAAATAACATTTCAGCAGGCTGGTTATACGGTTTGTTTGTTATTAAAAGTAAAGAGATAATAAAAGTTATGGGCATTTTGCATTTGCATTCAGAAAAAAAAATCAACTTTGTATATTTGGTGCACTTTTAAGTTGTAATTCCCCCCCCCCCCCCCTCAGTTTTCATTTTGGTTTTTTGTTTGTTGGGGCAGAAAAAGTAAGCGACTCAACTGCATTGACAAACCCAAACTTACAAGGAAAGGTTAGAGTCCCAGCAGTTTATATCCCAACTCCACGGTTTAAGTGGCAGTGAAGCTCGTCTTGCCTTCAGGACAATGATCAGCCTGTAGTGGTTAGGTCTGACCAGATTCTCCTCTCTCCGATCATACACTCAGGAAACAAAGAATTTTACAAGAGATTGTTTTCTTTTAAGAAACAATTGCTTCTGGATTTCCAAACCCGCGACGACACGAGTCAGTTGCCAGCTAAGCACAGCCGTGTCATGAGTTTAGTTAGGTTTATCCATGGTGAGGGCAAGGAGGAATGAGGAGAAGGTATAGAAAACTCAAACGTCTTTTTCAAGAAGAGAGACATACCGCAACTTTTAAGTGTATTCTTTTGCAACGATTTGTAACCTGCTTCTCTGCTTCCCATGCAGTGAGTGAAAGTTTTAGCCAAAATTTCTTTGCAGTTATATAGTAGTAGTTTGGAGTGTTATGGGTGTTTTTATTACTTTTTTTTTTCCTCCTGCAGGTCAGTAAAAGGATTTTACGTTGCACTGACAAAAATACCAAAATGAAAACGTATTTTTTAGTTTCCTTTTAGGATCGCTGGCACTGCTGGCCGGATGCATTTTAAGTTTGTATTAGTTTATAAATTAACAGTAATAACAAGATTGTAATGAACAGCATGGTGCTTGCAGTTTTAAATATTGTGGATATTAGTCATGCATCAGAAAACGATCTTTGGTTTTTACTGATTCAACTGTGTTGAAATCAAAACATTGCAGCAGCGGAAAAAATGGTTTTTATTTCATGTAAAGTTCTGAAGGGATCAATTTCAAATCCTGCTTATGATATGAAAATATTAAAAACCTGGTCTATTGTAGTTTTATTCAGACTGGTTTCTGTTTTTGGTTATTAAAATTGTTTCCTATTTTGCTTATTAAAATCATTGAAATGGCATTTCTTTGAGGGACTTTGCTTCTCTAACGTCGTGTTGAAGCCTTCTTTAACATGCAGCAAACTTCTGGGCAGAGAAGTGGGGATGCAGCTAAACAGCTTCCAAACTCGTCTTCTACCCACAGCACTTGGGGTAATGATGATTTTGGAACTTGGATTTATCCCTCCCCCTTGCAGAAACTTGGGCTTGTCCCCCTTTCTCCACTTATCTCTGCACCAAAGTGAGAAACCCAGCTCTAAAACAGTACTCCCACGGGTCACCTCACACGATCATTTCCCTCCCAGCTCTACTCACACCCTGTCAAGGTCCCACCGTTGGATGGGATTGACATTCCCTTGCTAGATGCTGAAAGCAGCTCTCACGTGCTACTTTCAAGCCCAGCCTGGATAGGCAAGTGGCATCAGCGAGCCCCAGAGTCAGCCACAAAGGCAAACCATGGGAGGATTGACATTCAAGACTGGGGGGCACGTTTCACGCTATTTCCTTTTCCCCCTCAAGGACTACTTATGTGAAGGCTCTGTCCTATGCTTTCCTCCCAAAGCAATCCCTTCCCCCCTCTCTTTCAAACGTCTCCCTTGCTCAGACACTGTGGATGCGCTGATAAGATAAAGTTATTGATGCAGCGGCACAGGGGCCCACTGAGTGGAAAAGTCTCTGTCCCTGTCTCCCTCTGACTTAATTAAACTGGGGGCTGGGAGGAGGTGCGGGGGAAGAGGGCAGCCTTCATTAAAATACTCTCGCCAAGTCTTTCTAAACCAGCCGGCACCTGAAAGCTGCCTGTCCCCTACACAGATCCTCTCGGTTGCAGGAGCAGCCCTCTGTCCCCCGCACTTCTCGCCTCCTGAGCTGCACAGTTTGCTTGTTCTGGCATTTCATGGCACGACAATGGCATTAACTCAGTGGCAGCAGCAGATGCCCACAGGGGTTCAAGTAGCACTGTCCCCACCCCTATAGTGCCACTAGACCGGGGTTAGCTCTGTTGCAATCTCGACAGCTAAGCAATTAGTTGCTTTAAAGTCCAAAGTGGATGGCAATCATTTATCCAAGTAAATTGCAGCCAAGGCAGGTTAGCCATGGCTATTGCAGTTTGCCAGCTATTGCCTCGGGGTGGGAGGGAGAAGTTGCAAACAGAAAGCAGCAGCAGCAGCCTGGAAGTCGGAGGATTGTTCCTTTCAAAAGTGCGAACCGCGGATTTAACTTTAAATCCTTCTTTCAAAAAAAAAAGAAAGAAGAGAAACAAAATCATCTCTCCTCCTCTTCCCAACAATAGGGAGCTGCCTGTGCAGGAATGACACCAGGCACGCTTGGAAAACAAATCAGTGGAGAAGAGTGTGGGAAAAATGAAAAGCAAATACAGTAACTTACAAACAAAATCCTTCCTCCCCTCCTCCCTCGCAGTCCCAGACACATCAGCTGCATTGTCACAGACAGCTCCTGATACAGCAGCCTGCCAGGGGCGAGAGTCTGAATCCAAAGCCTTCAGTGCCCAGATCCCTAAGGGGACATGATATTCTCCCCCTTGCCCTTACAACGCGGAGCAGTGTCCGAGAGGGAGAGAGAAAGAAGAAAGATGATAGAACCTAATTTTCCATGTCTTGCCTTTTTTCTTTGCCAATGGATGCATGCTATGGCTGCAGAGAGCCTGAGAGGAATATTGTTTGTGGGAACTGCCACCGCATATTAATGTCCTCTCATGCATGCATTGAATAAATCACTGGGGCTAATTGAACAACAACAGAAAAAAATAGGAAAACAGGCCTTAGAGAAGCGCTATAGTGGCCTTAGCACGCTGGATTCCCACAGATTAACTGTGTCACTGGACAGGTTCAAGGGGCAGAGGTTCATTTCTGTAGGACGCGTCTCCGCAGGATTGGGGGCTCTTTATGAATTTTAATTTATTTGATTAAAAAAAAAAGAAAAAAGAAGCGGCTCGGGTTTGTGGGAAGGCAGCCTCCGAGGGACCCAACCGATCCGCTAGCTGAAGCACCTCATAAACCCTCGGGGGGGGAGGGGGGGAAGAGAAGAGAGGGGGGGAAAAGAAGAGAGAGACCGGGGCGGGGGATCTCTTGGCAGCCTGTGCACGCTCGGTGCCCAGATCACCTTTGATCCGTTTGATCGCGGTCACCGGGACCTGCTGAGCACCCCAGCCCCAGCCCCGAAGCCGGCAACACGTGCCCCACGCAATCCCCTTGCCCCTCTTCATTATCATTATTATTTGCTTCCAGGGCACTCAGAGCAACTCTTCTGGTGCAGCCCGGCTCGGGCTCCCGTGGCATCTCTCGGAGCTCGCCAGCCCCATCCCCCCCCGGCTCGCCTCGTCCTCCCGAGTCCGCAGGGAAGCCAGGATCCACGCACGACGCCTTGCGCGCACGGGCGATCAGTCGAGAGCCCCCCGGTGTGGCCAGGGCTCAGGAGGGAGATGAACCCCTGGGGGCCGCTGACACGGGGAGAGCTGCGAGGAGCAGGGAGCAGTTGCGGGGCCGGGAGCGTGCACACGTGCTGGGGCCCGTAGCGTGACAGTGACAAGTCCCGGGGGGGGGGAGGGGGTGACCAGGAGAGACCGTTACCCTCAAGGAAGGGGCAGCAGAGTGGGTTTGTGCGCTTGTGTCTCTAGAGTCAGTGATGCTGCGAGCCCCAAAGCCCCTGAGCATCCCACCTAGGTAGGACCCGACTGCCAGCTTCCCCCGGGGCAGGCTGGGGGCGACCCGCGGGACCCTTCGCAGCCGGGCGCCTGCGACTGCCGAAGCACCCAGGCAGAAGGAAGCCCCTTTCGGGTGTTTTCTGGCGGTCCCCCGGCAGCGAAGGGGTTAACCCCCAAGCCTGTGCCCCGCGAGCCCTAATGAAATCCCGGCGTATTTACTTTTGTAGCTCCCGATTCATTATTGATTCATAAAGGACTGTTGACAGAGGCATCAGGGGGATGATGGATGGGCCGATTCGGAAGCAGGTTTCTTTCAACCGAGACAAAAAAAAAAGGGACAACTGGCCCCTCTGAGCACAGCCCAGAGGTCTGGCCGCAGGATGCTCCTCGAGTCCCTGCAGAGCGCTGGGCACTGGGCAGCCAGCCTGCCCCGGGCTTTCAGGGCACTCCGTGGTTTTCTGTAGGGACCACTGTACAGCCAAAGCCCTTTGGCGACCTGGTTTCAGTTAGAAGGACGAAAAAAGGCTGCTGCATTTTGAGCAGGACTGAAAAACCTAATTTCCCTCCCCAAGCCCCGCTGGGTATCTTCTTCTGCCCCCTCGCAGACGTGCTGGGCTGCATGCATGTGCGCTGGCTCTGCCCAGTGCTGCTGCTGCTGACATATAGAGAGAGATGCAGAGACAGGGCTGGTGCAGGGCGCGGAGGGAAGGGAGTGAAGCAACACCAGCAAATGTGTAAGTCACGGGGAGACTCAGGGAGAAGGGAGAGCAGGTGAGGAAAGATCTCACGAACACACGTGAATTTTCTTTTCTCCCAAGACAGGACTAAAAATGTCTAGCTTGCAGGTGTTAAACTCAGTTTTTCCCCAGACTGAACCCACCGCACCCTCCACTTCTGCTCAAGTGGACGTGGTGGACATGGACGAGATGCCCTCCAAGTTCTTAGCTGCTAATGAAGAGATCCGATCCCGGTCTCCCTGCAGCTTGTGGGAGTTTTGAACTTGCCTGCAAGACAGACAGGATCGGGCCCTCGGTGCCCTCAACTGTTCAGACCTGCAAGTTATTTCATGCCATTTCCACCCCAAATCTACTTGCTAGTGGTTGTGCAAAGGTAGAAGATTGCCCACATCCTCAGAAATCAAACTGGTAGCATTGCTTATTTTTATTTTATTTTGAATGATGATGGTGATCTTTAAACACACAACCTGAAAATTCACTAATCCAATTGGTCTGGCTTCGTTATTTATTGTCAGGGAGCTGGGTTATAGCTATATTTCATGTATGCACATAAAAAAGCCCAGGGTTTGCAATTCCAAATTTGGCTTCAGAACGCCAGTTAAATTGTGATCTCTTGTAGTGTAGGAGAAAGAGCGCCTTCAGTGAAAATCATATTATTTTGTTTGATCTTGCAGTTTTGCAAGAGCTATTGCTAACAGCTGTACAGAGATTTGCATTGCTCAAGGATTCTCTCCCTTCAGGGCAGAGGTGACTACTAGCGAGGGCTGCTCCCAGAATCAAATGAGACGCGCAGACAGGAAACACAGTTGGCGACACACGCGCGCACACGCACAATACTTGTGCCAGGCAATTTATAGACGATGTTATTAACCAAAAAACCCCCAACACACAACAAACAAACAAAAACAACTTTAGCACGTTACAAATATTCTCTTAGATTATTTCCAAACACCAGAGAAAACTAAGACTAAACATTTTTGGACTACGGATAAAAACACCAGTCTAAAGACTTTCTGCAGAGGCTGGATATGGATGCTCTTGCAATACAGTAGAGCAGTGCTCAGCATTAGGGTGGGCAGGCTAGATGTGTTCTTAGGATGAGCCAGGGCTTGCGAGATAACTGTTCCCAGCTGTTTTAGGTTTTAATTTTTTAAGTTGGCTAAATGCCCGTCTCTTTCTAGCAGGCTGGTTGCTTTTGGTGACTGACAGAGCAAGGTCATTGAAGCTCTTCAGGGGTATTGGTGTCAGGTTTCAGAGGAGAAAGATAAAACATCTCAGAGCTTTTTTATTCTCCCCCCCCCTCGTTGTGGAGCCCCATATGCAAAGAAATGAAGGGCAGGCATTTTCCGTGTCTATGCAGTTTAGACAGGACTGTTTTGCTTAGCCATGTTACTGGAAATGGGACTGACAAGTGGGTTTGCAAATCACTAGCATTGCAAATTGCGAGGAGTTTATCTTTAAGAGGCATATATGTGCATGCCTTCCAATAAGCCCGTGCTTGTGCTGTTTCCAAGTCACAATGCTTTGCAAACTGTCAACATTTAAGC